AATTAATTTAATATTTAATTGCGTTTGCTTGCCACATCTTTATCTTCCAAAATAGTTAAATCCAAAGTCCAACCGCTTGTTGATGAAAACTGAAATACTTATACTGCTTTCCAGAGTCCGTCCGGATATCTTACTCACGGGACACCACAGCCATACATCGGAAACATCTTACATATCTCGGTGTGCGGCTGTAGTGTTAATGTGGGTTGGTGTATATCTAGATTTATGGTATGTGTCCTTTTATAGTGGGGTGGGTTGGCTGAGTTCTCTAGCCTCTCCTATTCCCTTTCAAGTTTCAACCTCTCTCTCCACTTAAATGACATTCTACTAGGCTGCTAGCATGAGTCACATTGTTAAATTAAGCCATACGTAAACAATCTACGTATGTGCTTCGGGTAAGGTGCATACATCTTACCGGGGCTTGGCAGGAGTAAAGGAGTTTTATTGATTTTCTCACTTTATAAATTTGGGAAATTGTCTAAAATTTACCCTGAGTTTTCAGCATTTCTCTTGAACTCACCACAACTTTTCAAAATATCTAAAATTCACTGTGTCACTAACTTGATGTTAAATAAACTAACGGGTGTTAATATATTATCATTTTAACTTTCATAGAAAAATATAAAATATATACATATATTTTAATAATTAGACACGAAAAAAAAGAAAAAAAGTTCAAAAAAATATTCTCAAATATAAAATACGTATAAATACAGAAATTTTAAAAAATATAAAAAATTATAAAAATTGCAAATAAAATAAAACATTATTTTCAAATTATAAAAACTATAGAAATAGAAAAACAAAATCAAAAATAAAAATTATAGAAAACACAGAAATTGCAAATAAATAACAAAAAATACATGAAAAATTATAGATTGTAGGAAATAGAAAAATGTAAAAAAAACCGAAATTATAAAAAAAAAAAACATTGAAAACTATAACCAATGATCAAAGTATCGGTATGGGGTATCATATCGGACACCTTGGATACATATAGGCTTTGAAAATGCATGGATACAAATGAAAGATATAAAAACACATGGATACACTATGAAAATAGATACAAATTTTGTAAATACATCAATTACACTAGCTTAAAGGTCAAAATAGCCACAAATAAGATATAAATACATAAGAAATGTATATTTTAATAGTATATATAAACAAATATATTACAATTAATATTATAGAATGCATGGATATTATACAACGTTATTGATAATCCATGAATCAGGAGTCTATGACTCATATTATATAAATCTTTACAAATTAACGCATGCATAAAACCATTATTATGTTATATTCTATTTAATTCCAATACAAAAGCAAATGTTATTATATTTTAATTACTATATCAATTATTTTCTATTTTAATATTTTTACTTTTCAACATTAACAGAAAAATGTCAACCAAATATTAAATTTTGAAATGTTTGATAGACAATATATTTATTTTTCTAAATAATAAATATGTTATTAAATGTAAATCAAAGTATCAATTGATAATTTATAAAATATATAATGTTAACTTAAAATATTTTATATCTATATATTAAAATTTTTAAAAGCCTATAATATTGCAAATTCATAATTTTTAATTACTAAAATGATTATTCCACTATTAACACTTTTATTTCAATAACTTTTTCTGAAATAATATTTTTTATATAAATTTAAATTAGTGTATTTAATAGATTCAATATAATATTCTATGCTTGAATATTTTGTAAACAAAATTTTTATTTTTATAAATAATAAATATTTTTTATTTAGTGTAAATTTAACTATCAATTAATAATTTATAAAAATATATTTAAAATGATATTTTATATGAATTTTAAGTACTAAAATAATTATTTTATTATTAATATTTTTATTTGTATAGATTTATTAAGTAAAAAAATCAATTTTTGATACAAATATAAAATTGATAGTGATGATGCGCGATCCAGTCTGTCTTAGTTGCCGGTTACCTCGCTTCTGACGAGATCGGAGGTGCCTGAAACAGGGAAAAAAATGGAGATTTCCAGGGAGGAACCCGGTTGGGACACTCCAAAGCTCAAGTTAGTGTTCTTCAGAAGGCAAGGGAAATGAGGAATTCTAAGACCAGAAAACGCAAGAATCACATACCCTCTTCTTTGTGAAATGGGGGCCCTTTATGATCACCCTGTACACTCACTTCCATGCCTTTGCCAGTTCGGGCATCATTACCTCTGCCAGCTCGAGTGTCATCTCTTCTGCCAATCGTCAGTTTGGGTGTCATAGCCTCCACTGCCAATCGTCAGTTCGGGTGTCATAGCCTCCACTGCCAATCGTCAGTTCGGGTGTCATAGCCTCCACTACTAGTCGCCAGGGCTGCCTCTGTTCGTCTGGGATGACGGTGGCAGGTGGCCGTTGGATGGCGGTTGTCATGTGTCAGTCCCCTAATCAGTTAAGTGCGCCGTCTCCATGTACGGTCTCCTGGGCGTCAGGTACGGTTGTTCAGCCAGGCGGCTTGGAGCCGAAGTGGTGTGCGAGGCGAAGTCTTGAGTTCAGACAGAAGTATGGCCTGAACTGCCCCTGGGTGGGCAGTTTGGGTCTTTTGCCTTTTGTGCTCCCTACAAGGCTCAGGACCTCGAAGGGAGAGCTCGGGTTCCTTTCTTGGGGAGCTCGGGACTCTTTAGTTTGGAGCTCGAGTAGTAGATTCTTCGAGGGAGCTCGGGTCATAGGTTCTTCGAGGGAGCTCGAGACTCTTTAGTTCGGAGCTCGGGTCATAGGTTCTTTGAGGGAGCTCGAGACTCTTTAGTTCGGAGCTTGGGTCATAGGTTCCTTGAGGGAGCTCGGGACTCTTTAGTTCAGAGCTCGGGTCGTAGGTTCTTCGAGGGAGATCGGGACTCTTTAGTTCGGAGCTCGGGACGTAGGTTCCGGGAGCTCGGGACTCTTTAGTTCGGAGCTCGGGTCGTAGGTTCCTTGAGGGAGCTCAGGACTCTTTAGTTTGGAGCTCGGGTTTGTGGGCCTGCTGCCGTGCCGAGCTGGCGCTTCTACCAGGTCATTCTCGGTTGCTTCCACGTGTCACATGGCCAAGGGGTCGGGTCAAATCTTCCTCCATCAGATAGATTATTTATTTTATTTATATTTATAAATAGTAACTTTTAATATTATTCTATTTAATTTTAAGTTACTGTTGAATATATAGATATGGCATTTATTCAGATTGTATGTTTACAATAAAGATAAAAAAAATTGTGTATTTCATTTATCATTACAAAGTAAAAGGTGGCTTAGTGGCTTAAATCACTAAGCATCCTAAGTTGCAAATAAGGCTTGGGTTCTAATCGTGCCAGACGCAATATGTTTTAGGATAGAAGTTGCGCACATATTTGTGCATGTATCGGTCCGTATAGATCGATACGATGCGATACACACTAATACGACATTGTATTGTATTTAATCTTTGATTATAACAAAACACTAAAAATGCAAAAAAAAAAACATGAAAACTAAAAAAGACCCTTTTCCTCTAACTCGCCATCCAATGGTAATTTGATCATGAAAATTGTTATTTATGCTTCTATTAAGAAACACTAATGGTGCACTAAGAGAAGGTAAGTTTTGGAAAGTAAAAACTTAGTGACATGGTGAGTTTTAGACATTTTGAAAAGATGTGGTGAATTTAAAAGAAATGCTGAAAACTCATTGTGAGTTTTAAGACAATTTTCCTATAGAAGTACAGATACACCTGATGCAGAATTCTGAATTCCAGCCCCCCTACTACTAGCCCTCTCTCCCCCTATAAACCACATCCTGCCCGTGAATTTGGCATCAATCACGATGCATCCCCCCTGTACTTTGGGGCTATAAAATTCCGATCTGGGCTGATTGGTCATTCTCCCTAAAATTTATAATTTATGAAATATAATAAATCATAATTTTTTTAATAAAATAAATTAAGCACACATGTATAATCCGATCGTATCCGGACCATCCGGGTTTAAAAAGAGAAAAAAAAAAGAAGGTGTTCAAAGTAGGTTTGAGCTACCGGTCTAAGGGTGGAGTAGTCGCAAAAACACTAGAGGATGTCAAAGAGGGAGAGAATCAACATCCCCCACGTGATCGACGTCAACTCAGTTAACTCATTTACCTCCCAAGTCCCAACCAACTTTCCAAGTCCCCCCACCTAATTCTTTAAAATTATTAGCAACAAGACAAACCCTCACCACAGTCCACAGTCGGAGGTATTTCTCCATCAATTCAAAAATAAATTTATAAGAAATATTTCCGCTTTCTATATTCCAAGTAGGAGGGAGGGGTTCGAGTATGATTAAAATTTGTAACCACTCAACTGTAAAAGTACTAACCAGTCAGCTGGTTTTTTTTAGAATTTCTATTGACCAAAGACTTCTTGATATCACAACGAGATTCTGTTTAAGCAAAAATTCTGTGTTACATGTGAAAGTGAAAGCATGGGAATCCCACTGTACATTGCAAATATCTCTCCACCATCCCCATAAATTAAATATATTTATGTATGAGAGGTCTTTTCAATATGCTGCCTGCTTGATGCAAAATGAGCAGAATTTTTACTTATAAGATATCTCACATATATCGGGTCGGGCTGGAAATTGCCTAACTGAAATCCAAAATCCCCTGAATGGCTGCTAGAAACGTGAGTTGAGAATGAGTTTCTGGATTGGGCCATGATTGGTTTGCACTCTGCAGGCAGCATGGCCCTATCCGACCCGACCCGGTAATAAATTCTTATTTATTTAAATTCGTTGATAATTTGGACTCGGATCGCCTCTTATTTATCACTTGATAAATCTGATGTCTATTTTGAGATTTTTGTAGACATAAATAAATAGTTTCATTTAATTTCTATTTGTTTACTTGATTTAACAGCAAAATTACCATTATACCCAGCTCCCGAGTCTTTTGACCTAGTAGAATACGAGGTTTTAATTGTAACTTCAACAAAAATCTAGCAGTCAAAAGTCTCGAAGAAACATACGAGAACGAGATAATTAGTTGTCTGTGATCGTCCAAAAAGAGCCAAATGCACGCTCCGATGATCCCGTCGCAGATTTCTGGTTTTCTGAAACTTTCGTTAGATTTTTAATCTATATCGATAATCGAGCAACGCCGTTCCAAAAAAGAAAGAAAAAACATTGGCAAGATATAAAAGGAGTCTTTTCGATTCCCTCATTTTCCTCTTCTCTCTCTGCAGAAGGCAAAAAGCTAGAACCAGAGGTATATCCTCTACATGTTCTCAACTTTATCACTTCAACCTTTTACTCCAAATCTCATCTCTTATACACTCTCTTCTTTCTTTCTTTTTAGTTTTTCCTGGTGCTATTGTGTTTTCTTTTTCGCTTAGAAAAGCGTACTACTTTGTAAATTGGAGGGACATCGTCACCGAGCAAACCCACGTACAATTTCCAATTTAAGGTACTGTCTTCCCAAGCAAAAGCGATCAAATCTCAGTCTGCCTTTTTCGCAATCTTAGCTGGTGAGCGTATGTTCATATCGATTAGACTTGTGGGAGGATTTTCTTTTTCAAATTCTATAGCCTTTTTTTATAATGTCTTTCTTTACCTTCTTGGTCATGGTAACGCAGAAGGTCCAGAAGATATGAAATGAGTAGCAAACCAAGTTTATTGCTATTATGTTATCTTTTGTTTGGACAATAGATTTTTATTGTCTGCACCAGTTGAGTCGTGAGTGTATTTACTTAGGTCGAATGCAGCTTGTAAAAGTTCCAATTTTTGTATCTGGTATCTAAGAGCTATTTTTTTCTCCAATTCTGGTGTTACTGTTATTATTTGTATTTATGTGCTTCCTCTTATTCTTATAGCTAGATGGATATGAGGTCCTAAATACCATAAGAAAAGTATTTAGTTTCGATTTTTTCAAGTGGTCGTTCGAAGGCTAGTGTATTTTCTGTTGTATACTTGTATCTACTGATTGGTGCAGAATCATCGGGGAATCCATTTAACCCTATTTATTTGAAGGTTTTGTGTGTGTGTGTGTGTATGAAACCTGGGATTAATAAATTTAAAATCTTTACTATATTTTGGCCAACAAGCAGCTGATATATTCTTTTAGTTGTGAAAGAGGATATCAGATACTCGAGCATCATTGTCTGGTTAAGTGCCAGTATATTGCTTCTTTCATTATTTAAGCAAACCAGAGGAGGGGCTTATGGGTTTAATCAACAAATAGGCTGGTCTCTGCAGTCTTGTTTGTAGGATTCTGGTAACCCTAGTTTCTCTGCAGTACTTGATCTAAGAAAACGAGAATTTAAGCATGGCATCTGGATTAAATAGAAACGAGAATGGAAACGTTATCCCAGTCTCCCCCCTTGCACCACAATACACAGACCTATCAATCCATCTCCCAGCTTCTTTCCATCAGAAAAGAACACAGGTCTGTCAACCTCTCCAGTTTTATCCAGCTAGAATACCAGCAAGAGAGTTGGCAGAGCTTGTAAGCCATCTAAATGAGGTGTTGATTTTGGAAGCCAAAGTCTCTTGTAAGGCATCTGTTTTGTCTCTTATCCATCCGGTCACTGAATTAGAAGTCTCCTTTCCACTTCATCTCTCTTGAGATCAACTGTGCACATCAAAATGAAGCCCTCAAAGGCTCAAATAACAGCTAGAACCTTTACACATATGATAGTTGGGCTTATGCATCTTCACATGATCCTCCTCCTTTTTGAGTGTACAAGGAACTCATCTACAAATAGGACCAAGATGTTGGAGGAAGGTTTCCATCAAGATCCAAATAGATGCATTAAGTGCTCCCAAATCTTTCTAGTATTATAATTAGTTATTAATGAACTCTCCACTTTCGTTACACATATTATGGTGGTCCATTTCACTCTTCTTCACTTCTATAATGAAATAAAGGGAATCTATTCCATTTCCATAACCCTATACAGCTCATTTCAGTACTGTAACCATTGCAACATACATCAGACAACTTTAGGGAAGGAAGAAGAATAATGCATAAACTATAAAAGCTGATCTCCAATACTCAATTTCAGATATGTTTGCTTGTTCCACATAACTGGGATCAGCAGCAAAACTTCTTGTTCCCCCACTCCACTTTATCCCCAAAGAAGAGGATATAAATATTTTTTTAGCAATGCTCCTTTTAATTCTGTCATTTCAATATTATTTTCTTCCCCAGAGTCTAACATCACTTTTTTGCAGGCTTTGAGGAGACACTTTTGATCTCAGAATTGTTAGAGCAAGCAGAGCCAGAATCAACTTTCTGAGCAGCTATACCAATTTGTTATTATTAAGTTCCTCTGTGCATAGAAAATATTCTCCATGTGATCCCATAACATGTGAATCCAGAGTAGTTTCTTGCTGATTTCCCCCCAAAAAAATGTCGGTTAGGTCGTATTCCATTTTCAAGTCTTGAAAATGGAAGTTAAAGATCCGGAGAGGATGGTTATAGCTAAACCTGTTGCTTCAAGACCTTCTTGTTCCAGTTTCAGGTCCTTCTCAGAGCTTCTTGCAGGTGCAATTAATGCCTCACCCCCTGGTGCATATACTGAAACAGTAGTTGCTGCCATTAGACCCAAGACAGTGAGATTCAAGCCAGTGGCAAATCATGATCCGGATGGGATGATTTCATCCCAGGTGGGCATTTTAGTTTATGGTCTTTGTTTTTGGATGTTGTTTTGTATCAAGAACAGCTTCATTATTCTTTTGCCTTTGTCCCATGTTAGGGTGAGATATCTGGAACGGCAGCTTATTCATCTGAAAAGGTCTCAAAACCAGACTGCAAATCTACTGTAGTATACAAACCCTTGGCAAAATTTGTTTCAAGGAGAACTGCCTCTCTGTTGGCAAATTTGGTCAGTATGCTATTTATTAGGCACTTGATTTTCCTATAGAGTTGGTTTGAATTAGTCCTTTACTTGAGATTTGTTTTAAGTTTATTTTATTTATAATTTTATACAAAATACTCCTGAAACAATACTATTCAGTAATATATTAATCACTCATTCTTTGAACCCTCCCTCCTACCATCATAAAGCAAAAAATGGAAATTCCCCTCCCCTGCTGCCTTTAACAAATGACTTTTTTTCTTGGCAGGGAAATTTTGGTATTAGTCACCAACAAACCCTAGTTCAACATGGAGACAAAACCAAGCAGCCTTCACAAAACCATCTTACCTCAAATCCTAATGGGAAATTGCCACCAGAGTTGGAAAAACAGATAATTGAGCCCTCAAAGATGGCTACACAGAGCTTGGAAGAGTGTCAGAGGGCTGTACCTGCAACAACTAGTGGGGACCGGCCTTCTTATGATGGGTATAATTGGAGAAAGTATGGGCAAAAGCAAGTGAAAGGTAGCGAGTACCCAAGAAGTTATTACAAGTGTACACACCCAAATTGCGCTGTGAAGAAGAAGGTTGAGAGATCATTTGATGGACAGATTGCAGAAGTTGTATACAAGGGTGAACATAATCATCCAAAGCCTCAACCTCCTAAAGGCCACTCATCAGGGGCACAAGGGAAAGAATTTGTTTCTGATGGGATTGGCCAAGACACTAGCTATCATTACACCCATAATGAAAGGACAGGAGGGTCTGAAGAAAGAGTTGAAAACCAGAATCAAGTGGGATTCCCAGTTCATCTTACTTGCCCTGGAAAATCTATAACCACCTGTGATCCTGGTAATAGTGGTCATGAGACTCCTGATAATTCTTGTGGTCTTAGTGGGGGTTGCGAGGAAGGAAGCAAAGGAATGGGTGCAGTGGACAATGAACTAAGATGTAAGCGAAGGTAATAACATCCAAATTTCAAACCACTGGGACAGTAGTGAAGTTTTTCCTGTTTCTTTTGATCTCTGCAAGAATACCATATAATAATTTGGAAGAAATGATTCACAGTGTTATTTGTAAGTCCAATATTGTTACCTTGCATCAAATTCTTGCTTGTGAAGCCCAAGTGTCTTAGTCTTGTTAAAAGGTTAAGATATTGCGTTAAAAACATAAAAAGTTAATTTGTTGGTTTTATCTTTTTATGGCAATTCATTAATGTCATAATTGTATCTCTCCCGTTACTGATTATGCAGGGGATATCTATCTTCCTCAATTTGGAAGATGAGTCTCATTACTGATATTGATTTTTCTCTCTTCCTGCAGGAAGACTGAATCCCAATCCAATGAAGTAGGTATATCACGGGGAAGTGCACAAGATCCTCATGTTCTGGTCCAAAATTCCACAGATTCTGATATCTTAGGTGATGGTTTTCGCTGGAGAAAATATGGGCAAAAGGTTGTGAAGGGAAATCCATATCCTAGGTTGATACTTTGACCTTTTGTTTGCCTAAAATGTTTATTCACTATGGACTTGCCTTCTTATTTGGGGGTTGCATATTCTAGGCTGACAAAGTTCAATCCTACCAACTGATTAAGAAACAAGTTTTAGTCCTTCCCATGATATGTGATATTCCTGCCATCCTAAGTACTTAAACAAGTGGGTGGATTTAAACATGACAATTTGTGCAAAAAATACTATTTTATGGTTGCATGCAGTTTTTTGAGTTTCTTGCCACCAAAATTTCTATGCTTGCTTTGCTGCTTTTACTGCTTCGTCTGAGTTGCATGGACAATGTGCTGTGCTACCTAATCCACTAATACTTTGCTGACATCTCGGTCTTGCAGAAGTTACTACAGATGCACTAGTCTCAAATGCAATGCACGCAAGTATGTTGAAAGGGCATCGGATGATCCAAAAGCTTTTATCACCACATATGAGGGAAAACATAACCATGCCATGCCTATCACCAGGAATCTGAATTCAGCAGTTTCTGACCTGGATCTATTGCCTTCTACTAACAAAAAGCCATGATTTATTCAGAAAAATGATATAAATTAGCACTCAGTGATCTAACTTGCAAGGTCATATAATGAAGTATATGAAGGCATAAAAATTTAAGGTTTTCATACAACATGGCTTTCTTATGTATGTTGAATAAATGTCTCCATCCATATGTTCACCATATATCCTGTTTTATTCAGTATCATAATATATTTGTTATTTTATATTTTCTTTTTTTTTCTCTCTCTCTCTTTAATGCAGTCAGATTTGTTTGAATGGTAAATTCATCAAATCAATGAAATATTTTTGCTGAATGCCCCTATACTTGTTTTGGCACCTTACTACTAAGCTTATTGGATGTATTTAATATTTACTGGTTTCCAGTTCCCTCTACCTGGAATGCCTTGCAAATCCTCAAAACATATAATATATACACTTCATGTCCATGTGAAAGAGTTCTATAGTTGCTTGATTGCTTCTGCTTCTGCATAGCCAACTGCTTTACTTAGAAGGGGGTAAATGGCACTGTTGCAATTGTTAGGTTCTCCAACAAAGTTGTTTCCTTCCAAGTTCCAACGTCAAGGGTCGGGTGGCCTGCATTAATAGTGATCCTGCACTTTTATCTGGTGAATTAGTTGATGGCAGCAGTGAAAAATTTTATTCTCAGTTCTTTAATCGGTGATTGACATAATTTCACTGTTATGATAATCTAGAATCTAGATATGTTTTGAGGGTTTCAGACGTAATCTTCTAACATTCTCTCTCTATTTTCTTTAAGCTTGTTTCATTTCCTTTTGCCAAATGTTTGTAAAAATGACTAATTTGAGATTTAGAGTCATCGTCAAGCTCTACTAGTCAATGAGAAGGGGAAAACGCCTAGACCTAGAGGGCTGAGCTTAAATAAGAGAATTTGCAAGATAAACTGAAAACTGGAATACAGAGTAGGTTTTTTTTTCGTTGTCTTTTCATTTATTTTGTTAAATGAGTTGACAATTGATTCGGGGTGACATCCATCATTTAGCAAGAATCATTTTTGGATCAGGAACAAGGATTTTGTCCTTATCCCGATTCCACATCTGCCACGTTGGTAATTGATAGCATGAATAATTTTGTCTAGGTGAAAGCTATTTCAGCGTATGAGAAGATGAGTTGTGCAATCTGTATTGTCTAATAGAAGGAAGACTGTCTTCTATACTAGCCACATGTTCAATTCTTTTCTACGTTAGTTTATGAGGTTTTAAATATCGATAGAGCATTCGGTTTATTTGGTTAAAAATTGAATTGAATAAATCAAAATAAAATAATGAAAATTGAATCAAAACTGAATTATAAAAAAATTGAAATTTTTGGTTCGGTTTTTAGTTAAAATTAAATTTAATTAATATACATAAAACATTATATATTACAACGTATAATATATATTATATATTATAATATATTATGAAACTGAATTTCATTATAATACATTATTTATAATATATAGCACATTATATATTATATATTACATGTTGTATACTGAAATTTGGTTTTCTGAAAATCAAAACTAAAAACCGAAATTCTTAAAAATCAAATTAACTGAACCAAATTAATCAAAAATTAAAAAAAAAGAACTAAAATTTTCGATTTGGTTTTTCAGTTTTAACCAAATAATGCTCACCCCTAGATACACCCAATACACATGAATATGCATATTTATTGTTTTAGGTGACAAAAAACCTTATTTTTTCTCATATTTTTACAGAAGGGTCATTTTTATGTTATTTAACTATTAAAAAAAGTTTCTGAAAATACCTAAACATAAGCATATCAGTTAACAAAATATACGATACAATACGCTGGATGTGTATCAAAATTTTGAACCTTTGAATATATTGGATTTTTTTCCCTCTGGTGTCATTTAAAATTTTAATAAAGACTCTATTCGTTGCATGTAAAAGGGAGGAAAGAGAATTATTTCTAGACAAAATGCTATTTCCTGGTATTGTATAAATAATGGCCATGGAAAAACTCCAAAATTGAGTAGTAGCTGAAGGAAAATGGCATTCCTAATATTGGATTAATCATGTTTCCAAGGGTTGGTCCTCATGATTCAAGATTTCACGAAATCAACATATTTATCAGCTACTTGGGTAAGTTTTTCCTGGGAAACATTTACCTAGGTAAGTGCATTTATCCATCTTCTTTTATTTCTCATGTAAATAGGGTAATGACCATTTTAGCCATAAAAATCTATTATTAAAAGGATCATTTTTATCCCATTCAAGTGTTGGCAACGTAGAAAAGTTATTTACCCACCTAGGAGATGGGTATCACTTACTCGGGTAAGTGATACCTAGGAAAATAAATTTTCCCTGGTCCCCACATAAATCTGAAAAAAGAACATAGGATTCTTGGTCAACGGAAACCAAAATCCCATTGACTAACTTCCCCCCTCTCGAAATCTAAAAAAAGAACGCCCCGTTAAACTGAAATAACGATCACAATCAGGGAAAATCTATGATATGGAAAAGATATGGTATGGAACCGTTCTATTATGTGCTATGTTTCTCTCTTCTTTCCATGGTTTTTAAAACTGAACTGGTGACTGAACCCGTCAGGGGTCCAGTTACCGAGTCGAATGGTCCGACCATTTGAACCGAATGCTCGACCTGTTCTGACAAAAAATAAAAAAATAAAAACGGTCAAAACCGTTCGAACAGTTCGAATGGTTAGCTGCCCAGTTCAACGGTTCGCTGACCAAAATCAACGATTTTGGGGGGAAATCCGGTTTTGGGGGAAAACAGAACCGGTCACCTGACCGGTTCCCGGTTTTTCCAGTCCGATTTTCAAATCTGTGCTTCTTTCTATGTTCTTTTTGTTTGGTACATATGGTGCAGCTTTGGCTCCCATGGGGTAGTGTTTTGTACACTAAACTTAGTTACCAAGTTGGTGAATAATTGGGATTAGTTACCAGGTAGTGTTTTGGTGGATAATTTAATGGCTGTGAAATCAATGATAATGTTCCACATTAGTAATAAAATACATAGAACCTATACTTTTATAGGTTTGAAGCCAGACCTTAATGCAAGGGATGTCTGAGTGACTAACTCAACTACTAGACCATCAGCCATTTCTCACTATAACCAATGTCTGTTTTGCCCATCCCCTAGCTTTTAACCCACTAGTCCCTTCAACTTATAATATTTTTTTTCTTTTTTCTTTTTTTTTTTGGATAATGAGTTATACAAGAAGGGTAGCCCTCCCCAAACCTAAGACCCCCAAACTAAGTGAAGGCCAGACTCAATCTCAGATCTCCATTACGACCAGCTAGACTTTACCAACACGCAAATTCATAACATTTTTTTATATACAACTCATAAGTCATAACATTAAGGCTCAATTTGGAAGGAATACAAATACAAATCTGTAGAGTGCAAAAGTTTATATTTTGTATGTATTTGTATTGTACGTATTTGTATTTATATTCTTTCCAAACTAAGCCTAAGGCTACATTTGGAATCAGTGTAAAACATCATCGATGTAAAAATACACCGATGACGTTTTACACTGAACCATGAAAGTGATCGTTGCTTTTTGAAAATAGAAATAGGTGGAAGTTGATGTAAAACTTTAGAACTGATAAGATTTTACATCGATTATCGACATAAAACTCCACTCCATCCAAACACACGCAAAAACTAAACTGGAATAGAATTGTACATAAAAAATAATTATACCCTTTTTCCAAACACCTACAAAACCAAACCGTACATCTCATCCAAATGCAACCTAAAGTTTTATGTATATCAGTTTTTTTTCATGGGGCTTTCTCTAAAATTCCCCTTCACCTTTCTTGGATTAATTCTCTTAAACTTTTTCTTTATTTTGGTAAAAGGGATTTTCTTAAACTTTCCATCACTTTTTTATGCCATCGGAGACCCCTGTCAAACACTTTAATTTATACGTGTCATCATTGGTGATTATAACAGAAGTAGTTCACATGCCACCATTGATATTTACTTGATGAAAAAAATCAACTCTGACAAACCAGACTACCTATTAACTAATTTTTCTATGATAAAAAAAAAAATCCCTGTTCATTTCTTTCCCTGATTTTATGTTCTTCACTCATTTCATGACGTCAGCACTTTATCTTTTCATTTGTTTATTAAACAAAATAGGCTTTAATGTTTGGCCTTTCACCTCCAGATCAAGCGAATAATTATGGGTATTTTAGTTAAAAGAGGACAGAGATTAACAAAAGGGGGATTACGGTAATCCTGTAGAGATTACTTGTCTTGACTCCGGATCTCGAGAATTCTGTCCAAAGTCTACTCACAATACACTATCCCCGTGAATTGGGAACATTTCCCCCTATATAATATTTTATGTAGGAGGATGAGATATTCTCCATGTGTAGCTATAATGTTGTATGAGTAGACGTAGGCAGAGTTTGTTTGGGCAGGAGATCCAGATTCACTTGTCTTTTAATGGTCTCAAGATTTATCTGAAAGTTTAGGTTGAGATTAACGAGAATCTGAAAAGGTGATGGGGAGTTTTAGATAAAAATTCTCTCATTGTGTGTATTCTATATTTATTGAAAAGTGTCATTTATTATAATACCTTTATAGTCTCATGGATTTTTTTTAAACATATCCTATAGGTAAGGGCAGATTCAATCCTCACAAAATTATGCTCACACCGTTCTCACAGCCATTTTCAGCCATGCATTGGGAGCATCTCCATACTTGTATATTTTTATTCATGGGAAGATGTTCCCAATGTACAGTGGAAAAGGGCTGTGAGAATAGTGTGAGAACAATTTTGTGAGCACCAAACCCAATTTTCCTATAGGTTAGGTTTTACTAAAACACCTCCTATACTTGCAATCTGTTTACTTAATTGGCCTTCCATTAGAGAAGTGGAAAATGATGGTTTTGATTGAGATGTTCAGGTGAACAAATTTAATCAAAAGGAAATAGAAGTGGAAATGTCATTCTTGCCCTTGGTAAAATGCAAACAACCACTCCATTCAATTAGTTTTGTTCTTTGTTTGAAGGAGTATACCCTATTGCAGACATGGATGCCACCATTCTCTCCTTTTCTTCATTCTGCTAAAACTAAACATTGTTTGGTAGATAAACCAAAGACTATTTCTTTTCAAAAGCTTAATATGAAGTGCTAGGGATGCTTTCAAAATAAACAACCATGGGCCTATGCCCTTAAATATTTTCCAATAAGTTTAGCTGGTCACATGACCATTCCCAAATGACAATATAAATGGTTATTAGCAGAGGGTCAATTAAATAAATCAGTTGCAAACTATAGGAGATGTTTTAGTAAAAATGCAAACCATAGGTAGGTTTTAATAATTCCATGAAACTATGGGAGTGTTTTAGTAAAAGATCTTATTAAAAATTTGTCCTCTAAACTTGACTTTTCATTAGGGGTGGATTCGAGCCGAGCCGAGCCAAATATTTGGCTATTTGAGCTCAGCTCACTGAAATAGTCTTAGGCTCGAGCTTGAGCTTGATTCGAGCTAGAGACTTGAGCTCAAGCTCAACTCGATTCAAAGCTTGCAAGTTCGAGCTCAGCCCAGCTTGAGCTCGACTACAAGCCATTTTTTTCTAAAATATAAAAATTATACATATAAAAGTATTTTTTATTTTACATACAACAAAATAAGAATTATAAGAATTATTTATTATATATATAAAATAAAAATATACATATAAAAATGGCTTACTATTATACATAAAAAATAAAAATATTATTATATATAATGAAAATTATTTATTTTATATATATCTATATATTTATATGTATATATGTACATGTATGTATGTATATTAATAAAAATTATTTATTTATTATACTAGGCTCGCGAGTCTCACGAGCCGATCTTTACTAGGCAGCTCAAACTTGGCTCGATTAGCAAACGAGCCTATGTATCAGGCTCAAACTCGACTCGAAGCTTGGTTTACACCGAGTTGAGACTAATATAAAGTAATATATAAGGTAAAAGTACAATGTATCATGCATATAATACAATGTGTATTAGTTTTGAAAGTCACCTAATGTGTGTTATTAATATTTAGTACATGATGTACATCCACTATCTAATTATCAAAATAAAAAAAATAAAAATAAACAAGTGTTTCGATGGTTCATAACAAGCATATTGATTTAAACTTAACCATTTTTCTGCATTGTAACAAAATGAATTTGGTAGAAGAGAATTGTATTTGAAGGTGCAAGCTAACCTGTGGTAAAAGTCTCTGACTGTTTGTAGTGGAGACCTGGTTTCCAGGGTTGGATTAATGTATATTACAAGAGAAATCAAATGAGTCTAAATAGATGATTATATACTTGAATCATTCAAATGTTCGTTGATCTAAGCCTAATTTGTTGAGCTAGCGCAAAGATAATGTGATATACTTGTACACTGTTACCGTGTATCTCACTCACTAACCGTATTAAAACCGATTACTAATCGGTATATGATTTATGAGCCTTGCCTCTCTAGCAAAGAGAAGCTCAGTCTAAATCGAAAATTGGGCCTAAAGCTTTTTTGGACGAGCCGACCAGGCCCAGTATGACCTGCAACGGCTCTGCGCTTGGTCAGAGAGAAATCCTTCAGATGAGAAGATTGCGCACATTCTATGGTTGTATAATTGTATGGTGTTTTTACTTCTAGGTTGCATTTGGCATTCCTTGTAATTGTATAATTTTAATGGCGCATTTGGAGGGAGCAAGTAATTAGATGTATTCGGATTCAGTTTTCACAAAGCCATCCTCACATTGTCCTCTCAACCTTTTGAAGTCGTGCACTAGGAACGTCTCCGGACTTGTATGTTTTTATTTGTGGGGAGACACTCCTAATACACAGCTTCAAAGGGGCTGTGAGGACAGTGTGAGGATGGTTTTGTAAAAACTGAATCCGAATACATTTAGATACTTATTCCTCCAAATGCGCCATTAAAATTAATAATATTTAAAGCCAATGAAGAAAGCATATTGGCTGTTTAGAAGATTTTGAAAAAAAAAGAAAGGGAAAAAGTCACCTCCCTTTACAACTAGAGAAAATCTATGCTGCCAAAAGCATATGATACAGGAAGGGCTTTGATCAATCAAAACCAATGTTTTCAAAATCGGATCGGACCGGACCGGAAAAACCGGGAACCGGTCACTTGACCGGTTCTGTTTTCCTCCAAAATTGTTTTTTCCCTCAAAACCATTGAATTTGGTCAGTAAATCGTTGAACCGACTGATTAATCGTTCGAACTGTTCTAACCGATAACCGGTTCGGTTTTAAAAATCATGATCAAAACTACATTGTGAATTTTGATAAATACCACCTGATTGATTATCACTTTTATGATACCAATTAATTCTTAATTGGTTACAATTTATCACTGTCTTAGTAACCGGAAAAACAAACAAACAAGAAACTGAATGAGATGATATCGTACAAAGAGATCTCTTCCAAATATGGTAGATTGTTTTTCCCAAACAACCAAATTAATTCCACAAATAACATGATAATCCTTTAATGAATTTCCTAGTCGAGTTGCTTAGTGTACTTAGAGTTCACAACATCTTATATGTGGTAGTCGAGTTGCTTAGGATCAGTTTGGAAGGAGTGCAAATGCAAATATGTATAATATAAATACATATAAAATAATAGAAAATGTAAGGTTTTGCACTCTACAATTTTGTATTTGTACTTCTTCCAAACTGAGCCTTAGGGAATGCCGCTTCTCTCTCATAGGACTTGACTCTTGTTACCAAAAAAAAAAATCTTATATGTGGTAGTTGAGCACTCTAGCAAAATCTTATATGGCAATGTTTGACCCACTATACATCTAGCAAAAAAAAAAAAAAAGAAAAAAAAAACTTTACAATCGATTTTTATAAGGTCGCTGTCTAAACGGGTCATTTACTAAAATACCCCTATAATTCATGTATTTATTAAAACTTACCTTATAGTTTGTATTTTACTAAAACACTGTATATAATTTACAATCGATTTACTTAATTGACTGTCCTTAGACATAAGTGAAAAAATGATGATTTTAATCCTAATGTACATCTGAACAAATTTAATCTAAAGAAAATAAAAATTATAATTCTATTCCATGCCGTGGGTAAATTTACCACATCAACTAATTGATGCAAGCTTATTCTTTTTAGTTATGATGTATTATCTACACTCTAAATCTATTTCTATTATTATTATTATTATTTAAAAAAAGCGTGGAGCATAGAAAATGGCACCTATTTGAAACATAAAGCCGCATTGAAAGTTTTCTTTATAAAAGCTTGATATAAAGTGTTATAGATACTTTTAAAAATAAACCATGGATTATGCTCTTAAGCATTTTTCCACTGACCATTTCAAGGGGATAATAATAGAAAAAATTATTAACAGAAGGCTGATTATTAAGGCTGGAAGGACTATAAATGCAAATATATACCGTGTAAATACATACAAAATAATGTAAAATATAAGGTTTTGTATTCTATATATTTGCATTTGTATTCCTTCTAAAGTTGGAGGCTATAAGGGTTTTTTAGTTAAATGCTTAAATAATAGGATAGGTTTTAGTAAATAGGTATAACCATAAGAATGTTTTAGTGAATGACCTAAAAATAAAAACAGAGTTGACTTTTTCCGACGCTGTATGGACGGCCCGAATTAGCCACGTCACTCATCCACAAGCCTAAAAGACGATGATCGTCTAGGTAACGGAAGACGCGTCTAGAAAAGCCTTCCTCCGCAAAGACAAAACCCCTTGATCAGGGCTGAGACGCGTTTTGATTCGAGTTTGGACCGAAAAATGGCTCCTATTTTTGGAAAACGCGATGGTCGTAGAATAAAAATAAAAAATACGTATAATAAAATACATTTTATATTGTATAATATAAATATAAAATGAACGAAATTAAGTAAATACGAAAATTCGGAGATAAATATAAAAGTGGCTCCCTCCCTCTCAATTCGTGTTTGGTTTGCCTCTGTTGGTTCTCTGTCGCTCACTCACACTCTGCAGGGCGCAGGTCAGAGGAGAGGGAAACATGGGCTGGTTTCCCTGCTCTGGAAATCCGAATAAGGCTAAAAAGAAGAAGCCCATTGATCGGATCGAATCCAATCCAGGTATTTGAGAAAAGATTTATCGGAAAGGAATAGAAACAAACTAGAATCATGCAATTCAATCAGGCAGTCATTTCCTTATTTTATTTATCAATGGTAGAATCGCTCCACCTTTTTTTGTTTCAATCTTTTGTATTAGCCATTTTCTCTTTCTCCGCTGTGTTTGTTGTGGTCACAATGGTTATTTGGATCGTCTTATCTGAACCCATTTAGGGTTTTGAATTACTGTATTGAATCTTTTGAGATATGGGGTTTCGTTAAGTAGAACCATTGGCTTCTTCAACTTGGATACGTTTTTCCATGTTTGCCTCCATCTCTGTTTTTATTTTATTTTATTTGGTTTTTAGCTGTCTACGATTATCCCGCACGTAGATCGTTCTGGTTAGTCGTCGTGTTATTATGATTCTGGCGGGGAAACCCACTATGCGTTTGTCAATTAAATTTGGAAAATTGCGTGTTTTCTCAGTTAGATTGATCTGGATTGACTTCTGGTGATGGGTATTCACTCATCCCTTGTTCTGTTTTTTTAGTCTTCTTTGTTTAATTGTCTTCAAACTATTTTATTTTTATCTACTTAGGCCTCTTAAACCATAGGTGTTACCCGCAATCATTTGGTTTATTCATCCTGGTGATAGGATTAACTATCTGTTCCTCCTCCTTCCCTTGATTGGTTTGTAGATAATACGGCTTCTATTGAAGCTAAATGTGCCTCCTCCTTCTTTGTCAAGTGGAGGATAAACAAAAAAAATGAACTTATATGAGCGAGATGGGTCTGGGATTAATTTTTCTTTTGATCAGCTATGGAGTCCAATAACTGAAGGAACCACCATCTTATTTACTCCAAATTAGTTTTCCTTCTTGGAATTTATTAGTGTTTTACTAAGCGCTGAATCTATTTCAGGTGTTTTAAATGTTGTAGGACAGGATTGCGGTAATAGAAGCAATACTCGGTACTCTGTGTGTAGATTTTCTAATCCAAATCCTTCTTGAATGTTCATGTTGTCTTTTGTATTTTCTTGTTGTTTGGTAATGTCAGTGTTCTAGTTGCCTATGGTGCGAGAATCAAAATGCTTTATGTACATCATGTCATCTTCTTTGTTGGTCTTATAATGATGTTAATTATGAATCTTTTTTTTTTCTTCTTTCCAGAGAAATTGCAGATTAGTCCCCCATTGGATGAGAAGAAAGAGGGGCCCAAGGATGGAGGATCAGATCACATAGCAGCACAGACATTTACATTTCGTGAATTGGCAGCTGCGACAAAGAATTTCAGGGCAGATTGTTTTTTGGGGGAGGGAGGCTTTGGTCGAGTTTATAAAGGGCGGCTGGAGAGTACCAATCAGGTTGGTCTAATTCATCAAACTTTACCTGTTATAATGAAGTATAGAAAATTAAATTGAGAGCATATATTCACATTGAGGTGACAGCAATAAAGGATTATGCCAATTCAGATGCTGAAATTTGAAGTTTTGAGCCTAATTTTTGGGCTTGTCCTGATACTTGAAATTTCACTATTTGTTGATGTAGATTGTGGCCATCAAACAACTAGATCGAAATGGGTTGCAAGGAAACAGGGAATTTCTTGTTGAAGTATTGATGTTGAGTCTACTTCACCATCGTAACCTGGTTAATCTAATTGGATACTGTGCTGATGGAGATCAGAGGCTTTTGGTTTATGAGTACATGCCATTGGGATCTCTAGAAGATCATCTACATGGTATAGATTACCAATTTTTCACTCAGTTTTTTTTTTTCTACTTGTTTTCTCAATTCCATGCTATTTCTACATTAGGACATGGCAATTGGTCTCATGTGCTTGTTTGTTCAGATCTTCCGCCTGATAAGAAACGACTTGACTGGAACACTAGAATGAAAATAGCCGCTGGTGCTGCAAAGGGATTGGAATATTTGCATGATAAGGCAAACCCCCCTGTTATCTACCGCGATTTGAAATGCTCAAACATTTTGCTTGGTGAGGGGTATTATCCCAAATTATCAGATTTTGGCTTGGCTAAATTGGGCCCTGTGGGAGATAAGACCCATGTATCCACTAGGGTGATGGGAACATATGGATATTGTGCTCCTGAGTATGCAATGACAGGTCAGTTGACACTAAAATCAGACGTATATAGTTTTGGAGTAGTGCTTTTAGAAATCATCACCGGCAGGAAAGCAATTGACAATTCAAAAGCAGCTGGGGAGCAGAACCTTGTTGCATGGGTAAGAGATCCCTATCTTCCTCTCTTCTTTTACTTTCTTTTGTGTTGAGATCCATTTTGAGGTTATTCATCTTTGTATCTAGGGCTAGGTAGTGAATTTCTTAAGTTTTGAATGGGTCCAAGCTCAACCGGAGTCTGATGTGGTCAAAGTTCTTCAAAGCTGGCAACCCAACTTGCATGTTGGGACCAAACCATGAGCACAAACCATTTCTATGGTTGCTTAGATCTTCTATAAGCATAAGGGTACATGCTTAGCAATGTGATTAAATTATTTTTTCTAATTGGAACTGCAAGATGAGGTCTAAAAGGAGATGGCCATAAAGGACCCATTTTGGATGATTAGGTTTATTATGTTAGCATGGTTTATTTTCTGTTTGTGAGTTTTGTCAGAACTTGTTTAAGGTTTATTGAGAGGTGAAGGAATGATAAGGTTTCCAATTCTGCAAAATTTTGGCATTCCTTTCAGGTCAAGCTAGTTTCTTTTTTTTTTTTTTTCAGAATTTCAAATACTTCACCGAAATTTCAATTCATTATCTATTTATGTAAGAAAAAAGTTCTCCTATTTGGGTCAAAATAGGGATGTTACCTATATGTCCTAATTTGATACATGAAAGGATGATGGGGATAATCTGAACCTCATCATCTATTAAATATGGATTAGTCATGTATTCAATTCCCAGTCCACATCAACTCTTTCGTCCCACCTTGTCTTATTTTCTTAGGGATGTCAATGGGGTAAGTGGGTTAATCAGGTAACCGCTGTGCCCCTATAGGAACAGGTTTGTCATGGGTGTGAGTTTGTGGTATATTGTGCATGCTGTTTGTATTGTCATTCCATGAAGATTTCGTCTTATAAAAGTTTCAACTATTCTTACTTTATTTCATAATTGGGTCAAGTAGTGGGGGTTCCCTACATATCCTACTTCAATGCATGGAAGGATGATATGAACCATCATCAAGTAAATATGGATCATTCATGTATTCAACCCCCAGTCCACATCAACCCTTTTACTCCACCTTGTATTGGTTGTTTTAGGGATGTCAATGTAGCAGCTAGGTTAATCAGGTTAGGGCCCTGCTTCTATAGGAACAGGATTGTTATGGGCATCAGTTTGGGTTATTGTGTGCATGTTGTATTTTCATGCCATGAAGATCTTGCCTTTTTATATAGATTCCATTTGTTCTTACCTTTTTCCCCCTAAAATGTTCTCTCTTTCAAATAACTTTGTTTTTAATTTCTTAATGCCTTTTTTGCTTGGAGTGCAATTTCATCAGCATTGGTGAAAAAAGTATGGGCGTGCAAATTCTGGCTTACTTTTGTTTTAGATTATACTTTGTTTTGTTGTTTGTAGTGAAGAAGTAAAATAAAATGCGAGGCAAAGTAAAACCTAAAGAAAAAGTTAACCAGAGTTAGCATTATCTTTATTTACATCCCCATGCATTTGTACCAGTACAAATGAAATTGCATTGCAAACAAACTTCATTTCTCTTCATGTTTTGTGGTGTATATAATTGAGTAATGAATAGAGGGTGGGCCTTGGCGCAACTGTTGGATTGCTCCATTGTGACCTCGGTGACCAGGGTTCAAATCTTGGAAACAGCCTCTCTGTATGTGCAGGGGTAAGGCGGCATGCATCTATCCCTCCCCAGACCATGCATTGGCAGGATCCTTGTGCACTAGGCTGCCCTTTTTTTTTATAATGGAGTAATGAATACCTTTGCATGCATTGTACTTTTATTACCATATTTTATTGGTTAGAAACTTCTTCTTGGTGATAAAAGCAAGGTGTTACACAAAGTTGGGTGTAGCACGGCCTCAGAAATCCATTACAGAAATATAATTGAGCTTTTATATACTTTTAATATCGTTTATCTCCTCCAAAACTCCCCAATGTCCTAAATCGCCAACCAGTCCACAGCTTGATTTGCTTCTCTATGAATCTCAATGTATGGAATCTCCATCCTAGCTTCCTGTTTTACATTGCAACAATTTCAAACAATGCTTGTAGTGCTCCATGAGGGTTCAATAATTTTTCTTATACTATCAAAGTATCAATAGTAATTTAGAATCCCCATATATTCTGATTTGTGTTGAATAATTTTTGGCAGTCCATGCCTCAGCAATGTTTATTGTTGCCTTGCCAACAGGCTGGGCTTTAATTCCTAAAATGTGGCTATTGTTGTTGTGGGGTATCCACCCTACTGCATAGAAACTTTATACTACATATATTCTTCTCTCTGCATCATGCAATATATGTTCAGATTTGTAGGAGATATCTGTCAAATCTGAGGTCTCTTGTACATATTTTTCCTATTTAAATTATTATATTATAAACATTTTCCCTTTCCATTACCAAAAATAAAACCGATTTCTTTTGTAAGAGCAAAAGCAGTGCATAAGAGGTACTTTAAGGCCATAAAACTAAGCATGTGATGAATTAATGTGCTGTTGATATTATGTTGAATTGTCAAGAGACTCAAGACAAGGTAATTATGCCCTCTAATAGATACAAAACATAATGCAGTTGCCAACTTGAAAGGTGAAAGAAACTTCATCGTCAATTAGGCATATAGCATCAAAGCTACTTACATATTATTAGATGGAAATGCTTAGTTCCATATTGTGAAGCCATCCAAGATTTTTGCCATTTGGAGAATGTAGTCATTGCAAAAACTGTAAATTTGTCTTGTATTCAAAGGGAAATTGATAATAGATCCTTGGAAGCCCAACACATGTTAACTAAGGATTCTAAGAAAAGAATTGGGCTTGCAGCAATGCTATTAAAAAGGTCATAGTTTAAAATGTCCATTGTCTACATATTTCCATTTCCATGGGTATCAACATGAAATATTACTGGAATCATTTTACTCTCCAATGAAAACAACTGGCACCATCTGGAATATATGAGATAGTATTATAACATGGTGAGTTGAAAACAAAGTTGTAGATATGTGGGGTAACAGTATTGTTGCCCACCTAATGGAAATGAAATCCACATTGAGCTTGGTTGAAATTTTTGTTTGATGTAGCAGTAAGTCTTGGCTTTTGTTTCTGTAACTAATTATTTGATTGATCTGTTAGAATCATTTACAATTTCTGTGAGATGAACTTTATTATTATTATTTTTTTTATCAATAACACTTTCATTAAATCATCAATAGAAGATTTACAAGAGGAAGACAAACACACTTATCTTCCAAGAGCAACAAAGAACCTCAAGAAAAGGAAAAAAA